TAATGACAGCGATAAATACAACTTATAGCCACATTTCTATCAGTTGCGGTTTCAATACTTACACACTTTGGAGTCCCAAGTATCTCCTGGAAAGCAAGTTAAAATGGATCTGCAGATGTTTGTCATTATTTACCCGTTGTGTTGCTACAGCAACAATTCATCTTGATTCCGAAAAATATATAAGCCTTCCATACCGGATCGGAAATTCCCCAAAGATAAAACAGTTCCTAGACGTTTTACGGCGTCGCAAAATCAGGTAGTCTTGCTGTTCAAATATCCCGTTGAATTCGCCATTGCTAGAAATGCGACTATAGACTGCTACCTATTAGCTCGATTATGTGAGGCAGTGAACTAAACCTTACTGACAGACGAGGTACCAGCTAGTGCATGGGAACATTTCGTCACCCAGCTTAATTCTGGTTGCCGAAGCATCAGTGACTAAGACCTTCCGCTCGAGAAACGTTGTCTTGGTTCTGCGAAGCAGGACACGCAAGTGTATATCTGTGCGAAAATCAGCCGGGCATATCTACAAAATCTTCGAGAGCACCGAGAACTGGATGGTCTATACGACGCAACGTGACCGGTGTACTCAGTTTTTTCATGAGGATGGCATGGCGTACCTGTGAAAGTTGACCGTACATATGACATCAAACCACTACAGCCAGCAATTAAGTTCGCTGCTTCCATAGCTGTTCAACTGTTGAAGACAATTGGGTAGCCGAAGAGTAGCAAAATAATTGTTTTTGTTCATGGCGTGCCCAAACTACTAACAACCAGGAACGAAGACGTCCACGCTAATGACCTGGAAGAATGGCGTTACCTCCGTGAAGCTCTCTGTGGGGGCGATGTCATACTACAGTCGATTACACGGTTTGGCGTGTCGCCAAACTAGGGATACAGTGGCCCGAAGATACTGAAACTAACGATGCAGTCACAACGGATGGCCGTGAAATTACTCCCTAGCTGGCATTTAATACGGAACAAACTTTCTTCGGAATCACGACTGAAGACAGCAGTTAGACAGCTGCAGCCACTCGCTGTTCTCGCGGAAGCGACACCACCCGAAACTAAATATAACCAGAACTGCGATTAAGGAACCTGTGCGATAAAACCCGTAGCTATCGTAAAAGCTGCCGATGGACTACATACCGCAGGTGCAAATGAGACGATAAACAGATTGCATTCCTAATGAGATTGGGCAATCTACCAAGGAAACGATTCGGTGCCGGGCTCTCATCAGTCGGTAAGAGCTACGTCATTTATGTGCTATTTGTCAACAGCTTTTGACAACGTAACATCTTTTTTGTATGTACACTAAAGCCCAAGGCATATTGAGTAGACTTACCTGACATGTTGCTGCGTTAAGTATCACAAGCCAGCAACCTCATCACTATAACGTAGACATAGTTACGCCCTGACATAAGTGATGTGGAGTTTGCACTGCCAGGCGTGAACATTGTTCGGTACGGCCGACCCAGCAAATTTGAGATGTGGCTCAATACTTGTGCAACGAACTTTAACGTGAGTTTATGGAGGATCTGGCCAGCAGGGCATCTAACTCCCTTTAGTGTCATCTGCGCCTTAAAGGGGATGACACTTGCTTAGTGACGGCCATCAACCGCCCTCCTTCTTCCACACCAGAGATGGATTTGTGGAATAACGAGTTGATGACCCCATACCCACGGAAGTTATTCGTTCCAATCCAGCCAACTATTGGCACATACCCTTATTACCGGTTGTTTCAACGGTATTGGAAGCCATAATGTCTGATGCGCTAACGGGCTTCTCGGAAGAATTTAAATACCACGGACCCTAACAGCATGGATTCCGGCGAAATCCATCATGCGCTACAAATCTATTATTAGCACGATCCAGCTGGAGTAAAACAGTAGACTCTGGCACGATGGTGATCCACTCCTAGGACAGATCTGAAGTTTTCTTCTTTACCGCTGCCTGGAATTATGTTTGCGTGATTCACTGCCAGCTCCCACCTGAGTTGAAGGTGATTACCAGTAGGATTGGTACTAGGACCGCCGTATATTTCAGTGCGATATCAAAGGCCTCATAAACTCTAACTGTCTTATGTATGCCGATGGCATCAAGGTGTGCATGGCGATCGATATACCAGGTGATATCACTGTATTTAAAGCTGATATGCTAGGGCGTGGTCAACCAACAATATACTTCGGTTCATTGTGGACAAATGTAGAACGCTGCCCCGAAGGCACATTTGGTGCACGCATAAAACTATGCAACCCGGAGATTTAAACGTCTTCTTGCAAATAAGATCTGGAGGTTTTGTCCAGGTTGACAAGGGCTGTTCGAACTCGACTGAAACGGATTCAAGGAGCGGCATTCAAACATGTGGGTCTCCTGAGCCGTGCATACGGCCGATCCAATCCTTCGGATTTTCTACAAATTCTCGGTTCATACATAAGGCCACATGTGGAATAGGCAATACAGGTTTGGCTGCCGTGTTTGAGGAGAGGTCTTATGGCTTCAGAGATACCCTAAACACAGGCAAACGGAAAATTTAGGGTCTGTATAATTTGCCTTAAGAACATAAGCTAAAATTTCTGGAGCTCTAAAACGGATGTTATCGGCGATTACGCGGTGGCCTCATTTTGAATCACCAGATTTCGAGAGACCCCAACTACACTTGCCGCTGCTTGCTAGAACTCAGTCACAACAGCAGTTCAAGAGGCCACCATCTCATCTAGAAGGGTAGCGCAGTCGTTTGGAATGCCGTCGGAATTTCTTTTCTGTACGCCTATGCTGTACCTGGAATACCCTACATGAATCTGTCAAATATTCCACCACGCTGGCAGAGTTCAAAGCCCAAGTCCACCGTGTACTTACTTCGCTGCACCATCTTACATGACCCATCACCCATGGATAAACACAAGTGTCTGTACAAGATTTCACTGACAGACAAGTCCTGGATTTCGTTCTACATTTCTCACCTCCTGCATGTGTACAACGCAAGGAGACACGACTTCCACCAACATCCAATTTGTCGTCACTTCGCAAGGATTTACTTTGGATTTACGGGTTTACTACCTATACTTCAATTATTTTACTGCGTAAACACTGTTTGGCTAACAATACTTTTTATTTTGATGTTTTGCCATAACCATCCTATGTGATCTTAAAAGCATTAGCTTCCATACCTTCTGTGAAACTATAGTTCCATGTTCTCAACGAGCGCTTAAAAATAACCCTGCAATCAACTTGGTATGCAACTAACGTTGGGAGGAATCGAAGAACAAACTCTGTTGCAGACTGAAATGTGATGCGCTCTTATTTCGGTTAAGACGAATGGGTTTGATCGAAGTGTGCTGCACTTGATAACTCTAGAATGATCTATCCAGATGAATAGCCAGATGTAGTTCAAGTTGTACAAGTAATTGGCAGCAGTCTGACTCCATTTTGTACCGTCTGCATTCTCTCTAGGCTTGCTTGAACCGTTAGGATTGGGCTGCCTGGATATAACTGTCGCTGAAAACGGCATCAGTGAACAGCACTTTTTCCCAGCCGGAAAAGGCTGTGGTCTTTGAATGCTAGATTACTAAAGCTGAGCACGTATCAAGACAGCGAATGGAAAAAACAATTCGAATTTGGCATATTTCATGAGGTTCATCAAAATCATTTCAAGCCCAAAGTTTGGCAAATTGAAACCCGTCGTATTTTCTAAAAGACATGTTTTGCCTTGGCTCACTAATTCGTTATGTAAAAATACTTTCCAAGCTAGTCAGATGGTTCAGTTGCATTTACGCTGCGTATGGGAGCCAACGGGTAGCGATTTTGCTTGACCAGTGATTGTGAACAGAAATTATCTTAACAAACCTTACATTATGTCCAACACTTTGTTTTTTCCACATGTAAATGTGGAAAAAAACAAGAGGAATTAGTAAAAATCTATGTTCGTTTGCACCGGCTATTAATCTTTATATGGGACTTTACTACTGCGAATAATGGTTTAAGATCGAACACCGAATGTTTGCGTTTATCCGGTTAGTCTCCATCAAGAACAGCAGTAAATATTTCCGTATTTCTCAGCGGTAATCAGCCATTCTCGTCATGAAACATTGCATTTTTACCCATCGAAAGTTGTTAAAATTTGACCATGATTGCAAATAAAAGGCTTTATGACGTATGCGAAATAACACGCATAATGAGAGATCATAGTGATCCAAATATAATAAAGATATATTCACGAAATGGTAGCATCCATTCTGCATGACGTGATTTAAATTTTAGCCTACAAGCGTAGCCAGACAGTTCCTCATATCTACCCGTCATGTGAGATATTCAGTGCCATGTTGCACGTAGTCCATCACATAGACCAGTGCCGAACGATACTTTCACACTACCAGAGGATGGTCTAACCTATAATTCATTGCAACGAACACCGTATGTGCTCTTTTACTATGGGACACCGCGGATAACATCTTTCGGGACGGAGGCGTGAACATCTACCAACTGTGCATTCAATGAAATCTAACGGTGACAATTAAGTTATTTACGATAACCCATCTAGGATGATGTGTCTGCAAATATTCTCGCAGTTTCTGACAAATTTAAATTTGGACCTCAATCTTGCTCTTGCTATCGCAAAAGTTAACGTTGCAATTGGTATGGTGTGTTCCGTGATTGATGCCAAATGTTCCAGGTAAGCTGGTTATAAATCATCTATGTGAAAATGAATTCTCTTATTTCTTCGCATTGTAGTTAAAAGGTAAGTGGTGTAAAATATGTATTCAAAAATGCGTTTCAATTCATCGAATACATGCGACGATGCGAACTGACCCAAATCTTCATAATGAGCTAAAACGGAGAATGAAATATATGGAAACAATTACCATATGAAGTATGATAGACACCTTAGAATACCAAGTTAATATTAGTTTGGAATGTAATGACTGGAATACCACATCATTTAAATCAATGTCGACAACGTAAGTTGAGAGTTCACTAATCTTGTCGTTTCGCTAACAGTGATGCAAAGAAGATATTCCCTACTGTCCGCAAGATTACGTCTTGGTTTTATACCATTGTATCCGAAGCATGGCACTACCTGTGGTGGCACCGAAATACAAACTTACAATAAAAGTGAGTGTTAGACTTTCCATTATTTATGAGATATTATTTTAAATGATGTGGTATTCCAGTCATTACATTCCAAACTAATATTAACTTGGTATTCTAAGGTGTCTATCATACTTCATATGGTAATTGTTTCCATATATTTCATTCTCCGTTTTAGCTCATTATGAAGATTTGGGTCAGTTCGCATCGTCGCATGTATTCGATGAATTGAAACGCATTTTTGAATACACATTTTTCACCACTTACCTTTTAACTTCAATGCAAAGGAATAAGAGAATTCATTTTCACATAGATGATTTATAACCAGCTTACCTGGAACATTTGGCATCAATCACGGAACACACCATACCAATTGCAACGTTAACTTTTGTGATAGCAAGAGCAAGATTGAGGTCCAAATTAAAATTTGTCAGAAAAATGCGAGAATATTTGCAGACACATCATCCTAGATCGGTTATTGTAAATAACTTAATTGTCACCGTTAGATTTCATTGAATGCACAGTTGGTAGATGTTCACGCCTCCGTCCCGAAAGATGTTATCCGCGGTGTCCCATAGTAAAAGAGCACATACGGTGTTCGTTGCAATGAATTATAGGTTAGACCATCCTCCGGTAGTGTGAAAGTGTCGTTCGGCACTGGTCTATGTGATGGACTACGTGCAACATGGCATCGAATATCTCACATGACGGGTAGATATGAGGAACTGTCTGGCTACGCTTGTGGGTTAAAATTTAAATCACGTCATGCAGAATGGATGCTACCATTTCATGAATATATCTTTATTAAATTTGGATCACTATGATCTCTCATTATGCGTGTTATTTCGCATACTTCATAAAGCCTGTTATTTGCAATCATGGTCCAATTTTAACAAAGTTTCGACGAGTAAAAATGCAATGTTCCATGACGAGAATGGCTGATTACAGCTGAGAAATACGGAAATATTTACTGCTGTTCTTGATGGAGACTAACCGGATTAACGCAAACATTCGATGTTCGGTCGTAAACCATTATTCGCAGTAGTAAAAATCCCATATAATGATTAGTAGCCGGTGCAAATTAACATAGATTTTTAATAATTCCTCTTGATTATTCCACATTTACATGTAGAAAAAACAAAGTGTTGGACACAATGTAAGGGTTGGTAACATAATTTCTGTTCACAATTACTGGTCAAGCAAAATCGCTACCCGTTGGCTCCCATACGCAGCGTAAATGCAACTGAACCATCTGACTAGCTTGGAAAGTATTTTTACATAACGAATTAGTGAGCTAAGGCAAAACATGTCTTTTAGATAATACGATTGGTTTCACTTTGCCAAACTTTGGGTTTGGAATGATTTTGATGAACCTCATGAAATATGCCAAATACGAATTGTTTTTTCCATTCGCTATCTTGATACATGCTCAGCTTTAGTAATGTAGCATTCAAAGACCACAGCCTTTTCTGGCTGGGAAAAAGTGCTGTTCACTGATGCCGTTTTCAGCGACAGTTATATCCAGTCAGCCCAATCCTAACGGTTCAAGCAAGCCTAGAGAGAATGAAGACGGTACAAAATGGAGTCAGACTGCTGCCAATTACTTGTGCAACTTGAACTACATCTGGCTATTCATCTGGATAGATCATTCTACAGTTATCAAGAGCAGCACACTTCGATTAAACCCATTCGTCTTAACAGAAATAAGAGCGCATCACATTTCAGTCTGCAACAGAGTTTGTTCTTCGATTCCTCCCAACGTTAGTTGCATACCAAGTTGATTGCAGGGTTATTTTTAAGCGCTCGTTGAGTACATGGAACTATAGTTTCACAGGAGGTATGGAAGCTAATGCTTAACAGATCACATAGGATGGTTATGGCAAAACATCAAAATAAAAAGTATTGTTAGCCAAACAGTGTTTACGCAGTAAAATAATTGAAGTATAGGTAGTAAACCCGTAAATCCAAAGTAAATCCTTGCGAAGTGACGACAAATTGGATGTTGGTGGAAGTCGTGTCTCCTTGCGTTGTACACATGCAGGAGGTGAGAAATGTAGAACGAAATCCAGGACTTGTCTGTCAGTGAAATCTTGTACAGACACTTGTGTTTATCCATGGGTGATGGGTCATGTAAGATGGTGCAGCGAAATAAGTACACGATGGACTTGGGCTTTGAACTCTGCCAGCGTGGTAGAATATATGACAGGTTCAGGTAGGGTATTCCAGCTACAGCATAGGCGTACAGAAAAGAGATTCCGACGGCATTCCAAACGACTGTGCTACCCTCCTAGATGAGATGGTGGCCTCTTGAACTGCTGCTGTGACTGAGTTCTAGCAAGCAGCGGCAAGTGTATTTGGGGTCTCTCGAAATCTGGTAATTCAAAATGAGGTCACCCCGCAATCGCCGATAACATGCGTTTTAGGGCTCCAGAAATTTTAACATATGTTCATAAGGCAATTTATACAGACCGTTAAACTTTCAGTTTGCCTGTGTTTAGGGTATCTCTGAAGCCAACAGACCTCTCCTCAAAAATGGCAGCCAAACCTGTATTGCCTATTCCACATTTGGCCGTATGTATGAACCGAGATTTTGTAGAAAATCCGGAGGATTGGATCGGCCGTATGCACGGCTCAGGAGACCCACATGTTTGAATGCCGCTCCTTGAATACGTTTCAGTCGAGTTCGAACATCCATTGTCAACCTGGACAAAACCACCAGATCTTATTTGCAAGAAAACGTTTGAATCTCCGGGTTGCATATTTTTGTGCGTGCACCAAATGTGCCGTCGGGGCAGCGTTCTACATTTGTCCACAATGAACCAAAGTATATTGTTGATTGAAAACGCGTACGCCCTAGCATATCAGCTTTAAATACAGTGATATCACCAGTTGTATCGATCGCCATGCACACCTTGATGCCATCGGCATAAATAAGACAGTTCGAGTTTATGAGGCCTGTGATATGGCACTGAAATATACGGCGGTCTTGTACCGATCCTTCTGGTACTCACCTTCAACTCAGGTGGGAGCTGACAGTGAATCACGCAAACGTAATTCCAGGCAGCGGTAAAGAAGAAAACTTCAGATCTGTCCTAGGAGTGGATCACCATCATGCCAGAGTCTACTGTTTTACTCCAGCTGGATCGTGCTAATAATAGATTTGTAGCGCACGATCGATTTCGCCGGAATCCATGCTGTTACTTTCCGAGGTAGTTAAATTCTTCCGAGAAGGCCGTTAATGCATCAGAAATTATGGCTTCTAATACCGTTGAAACAACCGGTAGTAAGGGTATGTGCCAATAGTTGGCTGGATTGGAACGAATAACTTCCCTGGGTATGGGGTCATCAACTCGTGATTCCACAAATCCATCTCTGGTGTGGAAGAAGGAGGGCGGTTGATGGCCGTCACTAAGCAAGTGTCATCCCCTTTACTGCGCAGATGTCACTAAAGGGAGTTAGGTGCTGTGCTGGCCAGATCGTCCATAAACTCACGTTATTTGTTGCACAAGTATTGAGCCACATCTCAAAGTTGCTGGGTCGGCCGTACCGAAAAATGTTCACGCCTGGCAGCGCAAACTCTAAATCACTTATGTCAGGGCGTAACTATGTCTACGTTATAGTGATGAGGTCGCTGGCTTGTGATACCTAACGCAGCAACATGTCAGGTAAGTCTACTCAAAATGCCTTGAGCTTTAGAGTACATACAAAAAAGATGTTACGTTGTCAAAAGCTGTTGACAAATAGCACATAAATGACGTGGCTCTTACCGACTAATGAGAGGCCGGCACCGAATCGTTTCCTTGGTAGATTGCCCAATCTCATTAAGAATGCAATCTGGTTATCGTCTCATTTGCACCTGCGGTATGAAGTACATCGGCAGCCTTTACGATATCTACGGGTCTTATCGCACAAGTACCTTAATCGCTGTTGTAGTTATATTTAGTTTTGGGTGGTGTCGCTTCCGCGAGAACAGCGAGTGGCTGCAGCTGTCTAACTGCTGTCTTCAGTCGTTTATCCGAAGAAAGTTTGTTCCGTATTCACTGCCAGCTAGTGAGTAATTTCACGGTCATCCGTTGTGACTGCATCGTTAGTTTCAGTATCTTCGGACCACTTTATCCCTAGTTTGGCGCCACGCGCAACCGTGTAATCGACTTTAGTATGACATCGCCCCCACAGAGAGCTTCACGGATGTAACGCCATTCTTCCAGGTCATGAGCGTGGACGTCTTCGTTCCTGGTTGTTAGTAGCTCGGGCACGCCATGAACAAAACAATTATTTTGCTACTCTTCGGCTACCCAATTGCTTTCAACAGTTGAACAGCTATGGAAGCAGCCAAACTTAATTGCTGGCTGTAGTGTTTTGATGTCATAGGTAAGGTCAACTTCCACAGGCACGCCATGCCATCCTTAGGAACAAACTGAGTACACCGGTCACGTTGGGTCGTATAGACCATCCAGTTCTCGGTGCTTGAGAAGAGTTTGTAGGTATGCCAGGCTGATTTCCGCACAGACATACAATTAAGTGTCCTGCTTCGCAGAAACAAGAAAACGTTTCTCGAGCGGAAGGTCTTAGTTGCTGATGCTTCGGCAACCAGAGTTAAATTAGGTGACGAAATGTTCCCATGCACTAGCTGGTACCTCGTCTGCTAGTAAGGTTTAGTTCTCTGCCTCACATAATCGAGCTAATAGGTAGCAGTCTATAGTCGCTTTCTTAGCAATGGCAAATTTAACGGGATATTGGAAGAGTAAGACTACGTGATCTTTGCGACGCCGTAAGACGTCGAGGTACTGTTTTATCTTTAGGGAATTTCCGATCCGGTATTGAAGGCTTATATTTTTCTCGGAATCAAGAGGGATTGTTGATGTGGCCACACAGCGGAAAAATAAAGGCAAACACCTGCAGATCCGTTTTAACTAGTTTTCCAGGAGATACTTCCGACTCCAAAGTGTGTAACTATTGGAACCGCAACTAATAGAAATGTGGCCATAAGTTGTGTTTATCACCCTCATTATTGTAGATGCCAGATAGAAGTACATCACAGGCGTGGAGGAACGAGGGCGGTAAATGACCGCAACTAATCATATGCCGTCGTCGTTTAAACGTAGGCGGCACTACAGGAAATCCTGTGTATTTCTGTCCCGATCCTCTCTGAGCTCACATTTGAGGTCGTTGCGAAATTACTGGCCACCCCCACTTTTGTATATTCGGCCGTGCAGAGCAATGTACAGGCCTGGCTGTGCGATCTCTATGTCACTTATGTCAAGGCTTAACCATTTACCAGTTCTAGTGATAAAGTCACATGATTTTGATCCACAATGCAGCCG